TATGTTGAACCATCCCTGCATCCCTGGGATGAATCCCACTTGGTCAGAGTGTATGGTCTTTTTGATGATCTTCTGCATTCTATTTGCCAGTATCTTATTAAGGATTTTTGCATGTTCATTAGTGAGATTCACCTATAATTCTCTGTTTCTGTTGGGTCTTTCTCTGCTTTGGTGATCAAGGTAATGCTTGCTTCCAGGAATGAATTTGGAAGTATTGTTTCTCTTTCAAATTTTTCACTGAAGAGTTTAAACAGTAGTGGCAGTAGTTCCTCTCTAAATATCTTGTAGAATTCAGCAGTGAACCCAACAGGACCCAGGATTTTCTAAGTTGGTAAGTTTTTAATTATGCTCTCAATTTCATTTGATTGGTATTGAATTGTTTAGAATTTTTAGGTCTTCGTTCAACTTTGGTAATTCATACATATCTAGGAATCTGTCCATTTCTTCTATATTTTCCATTTTATTGGCGTATAGGTTCTCGAAGTAGGTATTGATGATCCTCTGGATTTCTGCTTGGTCCACTGTAATTTCATCCTTTTCATTCCTAATTGCATGGATTTGGGCCTTTTCTTTCCTTTTTCTGATAAAGTTGGCTACAGGGTTTGTGAATTGTGTTTATTCTTTTGAAGAACCAATTCTCTGTTTCATTGATTTTTTTGTATCATTCTCTTAGTCTCCATTGCATTGATTTCTGCTGTGATCTTTATAGTTTCCTCCTTTGTATGAGATTTGGGTTTGTCTTGCTGTTCTTATTCTAGAAGCTTGAGGTTCAGCATCAGATTGTTTAATTGGGCTCACTCTGTTTTCCTAATATGAGTATTCACTGCTGTAAACTTCCCTCATAAGACTGCTTTCATTGTGTCCCATAGATTCCAATATGTTGTATTGTCATTGTCATTTAATTGTAGGAACTATTTGATTTCTTCTTTAATTTCCTCTGTGACCCATTGGTTATTCAGCAATGTGTTGTTCAATTGCCATGTGTTTGTGAAATTCTTGCAGTTTCTTTTGCTCTTGACTTCCAGTTTCATCACACTATGGTCTGATAATATACAGGGGATAACTGCAATTCATTTGCACTTACTTAAATATGTTCTATGAGCGATTATGTGGTCTATTTTGGAGAACCACCTGTGTGCAGCTGAAAAGAATATGTATTCTGATTTTGTAGGGTGGAACACTCTGTAAAAATCTGTTAAGTTCATTTGGTCAAGAGTTTGAGTTCTAGTGTTTTGTTGCTTATTTTTTGTGTAGCTGATCTATCTATTTGTGACAGTGGGGTATTGAGGTCCCCTACTACTATTATATTAGTGCTTATTTGATTTTTCATGCCCCTTAATATTTGCTTTATATAGTTGAGTGCACTAGTGTTTGGTGCATATATATTTATGATTGTCATCTCTTCCCCTTGGACTGTTCCCTTTAAAAGGATGTAGTGTCCTTCTTTGTCTCTCTTAATCAGTGTTGGTTTGAAATCCACTTGATCTACAAAGAGGATAGCCACTGCTGTATTTTTTTCAGGTTCCTGAGTCTTGGAGTATTGTTTCCCACCCTTTACCTTTCAGTCTATGAGTTTATTTTTTAATTAAGTGTGTTTCTTGTATGCAGCATATTGTTGGGTCTTGCTTCTTGACCCAGTCTGCCAGTCTATTTCTTTTGATTGGTGAATTGAGACCATTAACATTGATGGTTATAACTGATATGTATTGACTTATCATTGTCATGACCTTTTCTTTTTGTTGGATTCTCCCCCATTGTGTTTAATTTATTGTCATGCCCCATGGATTAATTCTGCTGGGCTTCCTGAGGTTTTGGTCCTTACTTTCTTTTCCTAGGATATTGTTTAAAATTTTTGGAGTGCTGGTTTGGTATTCATGAAGTTCCTGAGGTGCTCTTTGTCATGAAAGAATCTTATTTATCCATCAATTTTGAAAGATAATTTTGCAGGATACATCAATCTGGGTTAGACGCTGTTTTCCTGTAGAGCATGAAATACATCACTCCAAGCTCTTCTTGCCTTGAGGGTTTGTGTTGAGAAGTCTGCTGTGATTCTGTTGGGCTTTCCTTTGTATGTGATTTTTTTCTTTTCTCTCACTGCTTGTAGAACTTTATCCTTCTGTTG